TTGTTGGCCTTGGTACAGCATACTAAATGGCCGAAAATTTAAAAAGCGGACAATAACCATGCCCACATCCCATAAAACGGTTATTTAGAGAAATACAAAATCTTCGATAAATCAGTAAATATTAAAGCTAATTTATTCAAAATTGATGGTTGCAACAATTCTTTACCAAGAAATACGTTTATGATAAAATTTTGGAAAATGGGCGTGCACGCCCACTTATGATCACATATATGTATATCGGTAACCGTTCTACCAATTTGTACCAAACTCGGAGGTTATTGTGCTTGCCACATAAAAGCAAAACGTTGAAAATTATTGAAATCGGACTAAAATTACTAAATAATTTATTAAAATTTATAAAACTCGGTACGGGAATTGTTTGTGGTTTGGAAAATTTTTGAAATCAGATAATAACCATGTCACTCGCTTAAAGATAAGACAAATATTTTATGTAGTACAATTGCATTGCACATCTCACTTGTGTGAAAATGTGTATAGTTAGTTGCGTAATTGATTTATATATCTGACAGAAAATTGTTTCAAAATATGTACATATGTACATACATACACCTCATTCTAACACTCTAGGAAGTATCAACTGCAAAAACAAATTTTTCAAAAGGTCAAAAAATTCAGTCGGCTACCCTGATGGGTATGCAAATTTCTAAATCAGCCGAGTGGCTAAAATTGTGTTTGAATATGTACATGGCACATGCATACACATGTATGTATATACTATTTAATTGATAATATCTATGTATGTATGCCAAATAAATAGTTTTACGCCTTCTCAAACGATCGTTGGTTTTCCCAACCAAGCACCGTTTTTATACCCGAGCGCACTTGTGCACAAGGGTATATTAATTTTGTTCNTAATTTACTCAAAATTGATACACCTCGGCTTACCATCAAGCGGAAGGTTTCGGAAGGGTGAAAAAACATATATTTAATACTTGCGCCGGGTATTTAATGTTCGGCTCCGCCCGAACTTAGACTTTCTTACTTGTTTAAAATAACCTTCATTATAAAAATCAGTCATGTTAAAAATTTTGTTAAAACAACACAAAAACTGAGTTATTTACAAACAAGTTAAACTTGAAGCAAATGTTCAAGTGTCGTTATCTCGAACACTGGAGCAAATCTGACAAAACGGGGGGAGCCATTGAACTTAGAATGCCCCAATTAAGTGAGATCAACTATCAAAACCTTTGCCTAAGTTTTCAACTTGCACAGTGTAATAAATAAAAAGAATAATAATAATAAGCACATCTATATGTGATAAATGTTTATTTATTAGCTATTTTTTATTATAATAGTTTGCTTACCGATGACTTTCGCCTAATTTTTCTCAATAAAAACTTAAACCAATTTTATCGTTAGGCTTTTCAACGACAAAATATTCGTAGCTAGGCTATCTTCAAATTTCGATAGACAACTGTCAAAGCCACCGACAATATTCGCTAAAAGTGTTCTTGAGAATTGCAGTTAACGAAACTTGTCGGAATCGTTAGCTAACGATGCGAATATTGTCGTTAAGAAAAATGGGGATCGCACTACAGATCCCCACTTGTTTTTTTATGAATTGTGCTGATTATCTCTATGAGCCGTTAACAGCCTTATTTGTTTCTTAAAGAACGCATATTTCCATTTTTATGGAAGGAATCAATAATAGCCCCGCTACTTAAAAGCGGTAGCAGGTCTTCGGTGGAGAACTATCGGGCATAGCTAAGCTCTCTGCAATTCCTAAATAATTTGAATAAATTATTTCAAATCAGTTGACGCATTATATCCCCTCTAGCATTTCATACTGTCAACATGGGTTTTGCAAAGGCAAATCAACTTCAACAAATTTACTTGAGTTCACAACCTATATATCAAAAGCGTTTAGTGAAAACAAAAATGTGGATGTTATATATACCGACTTCAATAAAGCATTTGACTCGTTGTTCACTCGTTGCTCATATATAAACTGGATCTTCTTGGTATTCAACCTAATTTTCTACGTTGGATCTCTTCATACCTCTATGATAGATCACAAAGGGTTATGTTTAAAAGTACTATTTCTGATGTCATTGATGTTACTTCAGGAGTCCCGCAAGGTAGCCACTTAGGCCCGATTCTGTTATTGCTTTTATAAACCATATTTCTACACATATAACATTTTTTTAAAATTTTAAGGTACGCAGATGATGTGAAACTTAATAAAGCGTACGTATCAATCAAAGAAAAGCATTTGCTACAAGTAGACTTAAGCAGCATGGCTAACTGGTGCTATGTAAATCGTATGCCTCCAAATCTGGAAAATTGTAAAGTAATGTATTTCTCGCGAAGAGCTGTTCAGCCACTTTCTTATACAATAGATAACCATAATTTGGAACAGGTATACAATTTTGTGAAACTTGGTATCACAATGGATCCGAAACTTGATTTTAATCTTCACATTAATGTAACAATCAACAAGGCTAAAGGCGTACTTGCATTTGTGAAACTATGATCAAACGAATTTAGTGACCCTCATATCACTAAACCCCTGGAATCAAGGTATCAAAATTTCTCCGACAAGATAGCATCAACTCAAAAACAGTTCCTACTTTTCGCTTTAAGAAATTTCCGTTGGAATTCTCAATATACCCTTCCGCCTTATACGAGCCGATTAAATCTTACTAATCTTCCTACACTTGTCATTCGCAGTTAAATGTTTGGTACAATTTTTTTGGTTAAATCACTGACAGGCTCAATTTCAAGTCCGCTTCTTCTGGGTAAAGTTAGCCTTAATGTTTCCTCCCGTGTATCAAGACACTTTTATCCCCTATTTTTGAAAACTTGTAAAATTAATTTTGAATTACACGAACCACTGCCTTGCTTATGGCAGGATTTTAACTCTCATTCCAACACATTATATATATCTGATTCGCTTTTAAGCATTAAGAAAGCGATACTATCCTCTATCAATAAATCAATTATTAACATAAAGACATCCAATCAGCTGATGAATTTGGTTCTGTAGCTGAACAGTTTTGGATCTCGACACTTAACAAACTCCTGCCTTTCGTGACTCGGCGCAAAAAATTTAAAATAATGGTTCCGTACGTCATGCGGACTGCGCCCCTCGTGCGGATGGGCGGCAATGGAGGGTAAAACCCGTTGGGATTATAATTATTATTAAAAGCAATCTCCCCTCGGCAAGCAATCGCAATCTTTCGAGTGTATTTCTGCCATGAAAAACAGCTTCTCATAAAAATACAATCGCAAATGTGTAAGCGCAAATCTATTATTATTATTTACGCTGGTTCGTCTTGTCCTCGTTTACCATCAGCCCCATTCGTTTTGCTTTCATATCCAACTTGAAGAAGGCAGTAAAAGAATATGATAATTGAATAGCCCAGCTGGCAAGTGGTCAGCTTCAGCAGCTTTTTTGATTTTCAGTCGCGAAAGTGCTATCCGTACCTCGTCATAGTCGGGTAATTAAACATCGACTCCTCCCTCTTCGACTGGCAGTGCATTGGGGTTGCTTGCAGTGAGTAGAATATAAATTCGGCCGAGGTTCTGGTTTTATGATGGGACCACGGAAATTAATTTTTCAAAAAACCAATTTCCCTGTGACACCCTAATTTATATACAAACATATGTACAATGTATATACAAGCTTACATATGTACGTTCTTATTCTAGAACACTATTTAATTAACATACAGTTTAGCGATCGCTGACTTTGTTCATTAAATGATCTAACAAGCTTCTTTACACATAAATTTGTTAACTAACAACAAAAGTAAAAAACCACCAGGCATACTACCCAAAGAGTCAACTCGCTAAAAAGTGCTCGTAATATGTAAACGAGGTGAACAATTAACAAATTTTGTATTCAACCTAATACGTATTTTTCGACGTATGCAAACAAAATTATTGGCAAGTAATTGCTAACAAATTGTTACAATATTTATACAAACAAGCATGCACCAACAACTATGCAAACATACATATATGTACATACATATGTATGTACGTCAACATGTACATACATGAATGAATTTTCTTTGAGAAGCTTAGGTTTTTGGCTGGTCGGTCTATTTGGCTTGCGGCTCGTTATGTGGAAAAATAGTGAAAAAATTAACAACGAATATGTAACATGACAACAGACAACTCTTATATGTAAACTAGTTGGCGTAAAGGTATGTAGCTACGGAGAACTGCCACAAATGGTTGCAAGAATGTGGCAAAAGTCGCTCGCTAACTACTTAAGGCCAGTTTCTCAATGTCTGGTTAACACTAACACAGGATAAACATCGTTATCGACATTATCGACTCCCTGTTATATGTTATGGAGTCGTTGTGCGCCATGAGTGCCTACGGGTTCAAACTTAAACTTCATTCATGACACTTTCACAGGAAAGGTAATTTGAAACTAAATAATACATGTATCCAGTCAAGGAAATTTAATGAGCAAGCACAATTGGAAAACTTTTAGGGCCGGTTGCTCAAAGCATGGTTGACACTAATCCGCGATCAAACATCGTTAGCTACGTTACTGACACCGTGTTATATGCATATAAGCTTCAAATGGTGAGTGTGAGTTATAGAAAGCATAGACTCATCCTTGCCCTCCTCTTGCCTTCCCAGTTTTTTGCTGTGTAGCTCTTGGCCCATCTTCCAGAAGACAAGAGAAAACGATTCAGAGACACTACGAGTAGGTATTTCTTGGGGCTGGCGAAAAAATTGTTCCTCCACGGAACCCTCCCCGAGGGTGCCGGCTGGAAATGGATACTCCAGTATGTTCTATGCGTTGTCAGAACGGTATCCAGCTAAGATCAGGGGGAATCGCGGGAAGGCTCGCTGCTCTTCAATAGCATATAGCACAGCCCATCGCAATGCCCTTTGATCATGGTACGGGGATTTCCCTCAATCCAAGGTGTTAAGCGGACCGTGCCTATTGGACGACGTTTGCAGTCGGGGGAAACGGACTGTACTTCTACGTTGCCTCACTGACACCGGGTCGCCTCAGTGAGTAACGGTGGCCTTACCATGGCATGGGGCGCTACCCCCTCTTCACTCGCTACGTCGCTATACCAGGCCACCTCGGCTTCGGTACATCCCGGCGCTGTTTCTCTTTGGTTCCTCTTGGGTTTCCTTTTTGGACAGTGACTGGGCGGGCGACCGTTAGAACTAGAAAACATGCAAAACCTAAAAACAGCCTCGAACAATAAGAAATTTGACAAACACCCACAACTAAGGGACACGACTAACAAGAACTCCACGGAAAGTACCTCGGACAACAAAATACAGGACTCACTTACCCTAGACACGACCAACAAGGACTGTACGGACAGACCTCGCCTGGGTAGTCCGAGCCTCTCCACGGAGGAGGAGCTCCTCCTATCCAGTCAGGAGACTTTGACGCCAGGTGGTGGAGAAAGTACTGTGGGCCACAGTACTCCGTCATCTAGTCAACAGCTTTCTGCGGCTGCCAAGGGGCAGCCAAATATCAAACCCTCGACGTCGAGGGCAATTCGTGAAAAGCGATACCGGTGGGCTCTATCTATCCTCGGTAGGATAGAGCGGAATGAGACCAAAGGGATCGTGCACACGAAGGACGCCGAAGACAAAATCCGTTTTCAGGCGGTGGTGGATGAGTACCGGCTGTACCAGGCCACCGAACACAAGGATGCGGAAAGCGGAATAGGTCCCAAGATGAAGTCGAAATAGCCTCAAAAAAGAGGAGGTTTTCTGCTGACCAGGCAAATGCGGCTGCTGCAACAGGGCCACGGCGTGGCTTCAGCGAGGTGGTAAGAGATAGCCTGCAGGTGGCACTTGTGGATGCGATTTCAAACAAGGCGAAGCCGGTGCTTGATAAGTGGGGGAGATTGAGGCGCGGCTGTCTCAAATGATCATTGACCAAGTCATGGCACAGCCGGATGGCCATCTCCCCAGTTTCGACTCTGCGAAGGTAGTGCGCGGTTGCAGGGTGGACCAACTCTCAAAGGTTTGCTGGAGAAGAGCTTGGCGAGCATCAGTGATGCTTGGGAGGGTTTGAGGCTCAAGCTCATCCCTGCTAGTGACATCCCCAGGAGGCCGAGAGCTCGCATTTGGCTCCCACGTGTAGAGATGGATAGCGCGGCGCCGCTAAAATATCTGCGTACACACAACCGTGAAATCCCGATGGACGACTGGGAGATCCTTAAGGCTGAGGATTCACAAACAATCAGCATGTCCTTCTGACTCCTCATTGGTGAGGAAAGTATCGAGCCTTTGGAAAAGGCCGACTGTCTCCTTCGCTTTGGTATCCGGCGAGCCAAAGTCAAAATTTTCCGGGCGAACAATGCTGAAGAAGAAGAGCCTGACGTGGTCAACGACGCAAATAAGTTGCTGGAAGGCATGCTGCTCGCTGCNAAGCTGCTGGAAGGCATGCTGCTCGCTGACCCAACTGCTGACCCAAATTGATAATGGGTCTAAAGGTTGTCCAGATTAACCTCCAGCACTCGAGGCTGGCCACGGACAACCTTTCCGTCTTCCTGGTGGAGGAAGATGTCGACATCGCGCTCATTCAGGAGCCCTGGGTATGGAACACCTGAATGGATACGAGGTATTCTACAAGAAATGGGACGGTTAGCCTAGATCTTGTGTTGTGGTTATATCTCAACACCATACTTTTCTCATCCCTTCCCACAGCTCATCGGATCTAACAGCAACGAANCACAGCTCATCGGATCTAACAGCCACGAAGTTCGAAGCGGCTGGTGGTACCAGCATGGTCATCGCCTCGTGCTACATGCCACACAACGAGGACGCACCACCGGATGTGGTTCGTAGACTAGTGGAGAACTTTCAGTCGGAAAATCTACTTATCGGATGCGATTGCAACTCCAGGCATTCGATCTGGGGCAGCTCGGAAATAAATACTCGCGGTGAGTTTCTTTTCGATTACATTCTTAGTACTAACCTAATAATTTGTAATCGAGGTACCACTCCTACGTTCACGTTTCCTAGCACTGATACTTTTAGGGGATGGGAAGAAGTGCTTGATATAACACTAACTAACGATTGTAGTAGTAGAGGTAGCATTAAAGTAGACAACTGTAGGGTATCTGATCGGAAATCTTTTTTTGATCATAGGTACATACTGTTCAACTTATCGGTTAGCCAGAAAGTTTCCCTTCCTTTTCGTAACCCAAAGAGAACAAACTGGCGGCGGTTCGCTAGTGTGGTCAGTAACAAACTTGGCAAACATTACAATAACAATTTAACGACCGTGGAAGATATAGAAACCAAGGGCAACAAATTCGTAAAGGCTATGGGATCGGCCTTTAAAGTCTCCTGTCCTGTAAGCTTCGGGCGGAACAAATATCCTCCATGGTGGGGAGAGGAGATCTCGGAACTTGGGTAAGAGTCTCGCAAAGCTTTCAACTTAAGCTATTCCTCGGGCAACTGGCAGACCTATAGAGATAGCTTGAGAATTTACGCAAAGGCAATTCGCAAAGCAAAACAGGAATCCTGGAGGGATTTCTGCTCTTCTATCTACTGAACGAAAGAATCCGCCAGAATGGGGAGGATCCTATCCAAGGAACACAGCAATCCTTCCTTCCTAAAAAAGGAAGATGGAAGATGGACCAATAGTTCTAAGGCGACATTATAACTCCTTCTTCGTACCCATTTTCCAGGCTGTGATCTAAATCAGGTCTCAGATGTAGATAGCAACGTAGCGGCACCATCCATTAATGTCGTTAACGAAATAATCACGCGGGAGGAGATTGCATGGGCAATTAACAGCTTCTCTCCGTACAAATCTCCGGGTCCGGACGGGATCTTTCCAGCAATGCTACAGGAGGCCCAGTCGTGGGCTATTTCATGGCTGGAGAGCATTTTCAAAGCATGCATAATGCTCAACCATGTTCCGTCTACTTGGCAAAGTGTTAAAGTAGTTTTCATTACCAAGGTAGGCAAGAGAGGACACATGGTGCCTAAGGACTTCAGACCCATCAGTCTCTCGTCACATTCACATTCGTTCGAAACTAGGCAATGGAGAATTGTCTACTGCACAGCATGCTTACCTAAAAGGGCGCTCCACAGAATCTACGCTCCATGAGGTCATACACAAGGTAGAGTCATCGCGGGAAAATAAGCAAGATACGTTGGCGGCCTTCCTGGACATAGAAGGGCGTTCAACGACGTTAGTCTGGAGGCGATAGAGCAATCACTGAGAAACCTGGGGATTGAGAACTTCCTGGTAAACTGGATATCGACCATGCTTCGTACAAGGATTGTAAACGCTAAGCTAGGCACCAGCATAGTCATCAGTCATCCAAAGCGGGGGACTCCGCAAGGCGGGGTACTGTCGCCGCTGCTGTGGCTTTGCGTACTAAACAACATTCTTCTAAGACTCAACAGGGAAGGGGTCAAAGTTGTTGCGTATGCAGACGATGTAGTGATTATGGTATCCGGATTGTGCTTAAATGTGATAAGCGAAATGCTTCAAAGAGCACTGGGAGAATTGGGTTCTTGGGCAAATGGCTGCGGGCTCAACGTTAATCCCTCGAAGACCAAATTACTATTATTCGCTACAAGAAAAAATATTCCTAATTTTAACCTGCCTTCCTTGAACGGGCTTACTCTCTCTATTTCCCCCTACGCTAAGTATTTGGGAGTCATTCTCACACCGAAATTAAACTGGAAAATGAATACAGAGCACCGAGTAAAAAAGGCCTATGGTGCTCTGTATCCCTGCAAGAAAATGTTGGGTAAGAGGCCTATGACCTAATCCTATGCTATGGATGTACAAGGCGGTGATTCGCCCAATTATTGCATACGGTTCGCTGGTTTGGTGGAAAGCCGTAGAGATGAACTACATACGCACAATGTTAGGCAGGGTACAAAGGTCAGCCTGCATTGCAATTACTGGGGCGATCAGATCTTGTCCAACGGAAGCATTGAATGTCATCTGTCATTTGCACCGATTGATCTCTTTATCAAGGAAAGTGCTTCACAGAGTGCGCTCAGGTTGAGGGAACTTGGATTGTGGAAAGAACGTACGTACGGGCTTGGACGTATCCTGTATTCTTTCAACGACCCAAGCATTCGCGAAAAAACTGACTACATTTGTCCTTCGCTTCTCTTCAAGAAAAACTTCGGCACGATTTTTCCATCAAGAAAGGAGTGGAGGGATCCTATTTTTACTGAACGCTTCGAAGTATCCATTTTTATGGACGGTTCAAAAATGGATGGGCAGGGGCGGGAATTTTTTCAACCGACCTCCAAATCGAAAAGTCTATTCGATTACCTAATTCGGCCAGTGTTTTTCAGGCAGAGGTCTTTGCCATAAATGAGGCGTGCAAAATAATTTTAGCCTCGAAACTAGCGAGAACCAGCATTGCTATTTTCTCAGATAGTCAGGCAGCGATTAAGGCACTTGGCTCTGTAAGCATCACCTCCAACATAATAAAACAGTGCAGGGAGAACGTTATGGTTTTAGCTGACAGGCACGTCGTTGCACTGATCTGGGTACCGGGGTACAGCAGAATTCATGGCAACGAGATGGCTGACGAGCTGGCCATAAATGGGTCGGCTCTGGATATCTCAGAGCCAAAGGAGGTTATTGTGCCTCTGAGCTATATCAAGAGCCGCGTCTCTCAGCACTGGTAAAATGTGGCTAACATAGGGATACAAATTTTGAGCAGTAACATCGATACGTCGATGTTTCGATGCATCCGAGAAAAGAACATCGAGGCTAAAATACATCACCAGAGAAACATCGATAAATCGATGGTTTCCGATGTTTTGCAATTTGTTAATTTCTAGTTAAATTTAAAGCAATGCTGTGTACTTCAATAATTATGAATGTATTTTCCTGTATTTTATTATTCTTTTTATACCCTTTCTATTATTAGAATCAAACTGCATACCATCGTAATTTCGTTCGGGCCTAAAGATCCTAGGTCTGATCTTGTTCAAATTCTAAGGGGTGTCTGGTTCTGTTTTAACGGCTAGGTTATTAGCATTCAGAATGAATCCAACAATTTTATTGAGCCTGGGCCGGTTTTTTATGAAAACTTTTGTGGAAATGCAACAATAATTTACAAAGGTAAGAAGTTATAGCTGCTATTTGGGAGATCACCACATCTACTAATCAGACTTCTTCAATCGCGGTCACTGAGGAGATGTGGTGATCTCCAAATAGCAACTATAACTTCTACCTTTTGTAAATTATTGTTAATTTTCCATAACATTTTTCATAAGAAACGGCCTCAAGCTCAATAAAATTGTTGAATATAATTGTTATAAGGCCATAAAAAAATTCTGAATGAATAGTAAATTTAATGACAGTCAAATATACCGAAAGAAAGTCTCCTTAAAGTCGATGTTTAAAATATCGATGAAACTTCAATCGATGTATCGCCAATTTCGCGATGTTAGTAAATTGTAAACATCGATGGCAAACATCGAAAATTTTACCGATATTATCGATGTTTCAAAAACATCGATGCATCGTTTGCATCCCTAGGCTAACAGTGGGTGGAAAAACCTACAATCCTGTAGGGTCTGCAGGAGTCTGTGGCACACCTACTGCGCAAAACGCACTGCTTTTCTTATCAAACTAAACCGGAGGGATTTATCTCGACTAACTGACGTTTACACAGGCCACTGGGCCGTGTGAATCCATGCTGCAAGGCTAGGACTGGAACACAACATATCTTGTCGTAGTTGTAATTCATCAGATGCAGAAGAAACGATGGAGCATCTGCTCTGCGATTGCCCAGCACTATGTAGGACTAGAATCTGGCTTCTAGGCAAGCCCTGCTTCTGCGGTTTAACAGACACAAGTGATATTAACCCACTGCAACTTCTTAAGTTCGTGAACTACACAGGCTGGGTTTGAGATATATAACCGACTTCTGATGCTTTCTTTTCGGGCTTTCTTTTCAGGTGGTTTTAAAACGGCACGCATGAGTGCTAATTGGAGTTGTTAAACTCGCCACTTCAACCAACCAACCAACAAACCAGGTGGCGACACTTAGGATTCCGCCCTCTACCATCCCAACCAATAAAAATAACGGTTTTAGTCAAGCGTGAAGATATAAAACTTTATCTCTTTTGTTAAAGTTTCCCCATTTCATAGATTGCGATCCTGATATAATAACCACGCAGTGGAATTTACTTAGGCTAAGTGAGCTTGAAATTTCCAGCGATCTGGATATTGATATGATTTGGGAAAAAGTTGATTCTATTTAAAATGGAATGAATGAAAAAACTTAATGCATCTCGCCAATTTTGTTTTTAATATAATTTCATTGTCACATAGCTCTGCGGCTGTAGAACGCAAATTTTCAACGCTTTGTTCGATAAAAACCAATCTAAGCAATAAACTTAAGATTGACAGTATGAATAGCATAATGTTATGCAAGGAACTTGTAAACAAAAACGACCCGCACTATGAGTGGTCAGCTGCTAAAGATTTGCATGTGTAATTAATTGATTTAAATTTACTTTTGAGAAATTAAACTTATTGGTACATAACATGTATGTATATAATTCATACAACCAAAAAATGTTCTCTCATCTGATCTCATCTCTGTGCCTAAGAATGTATGTATCTGCATTTATTTTTTTCTTGTGTTAGCAGTCACGCCTAAACAGAAGGAAAATATACGGATTCTAAAAAACAATAAATTAACCGATTTTCCATGCAAAATTAAGTTATTGTACGAAGTTTACATGGTTACGAGGCATTTACGCGTAAGTTCGTAAGTACTTAAGTTGCATAATTGTCTTTCAGTTATTTTTTGATTACACAATTTTAATGTTTAAACATTTCAAATCATTAGTAAAATGTTGTTATCGCTTCCATACTTTGTGATTAGTTCAAAGAAGATTTGTTCCCGTTTCGTTCTCTACCGGTCATTCCTGAGACCTTAGTTCCCATGTTGTTCTTCAAGAGAAAGTTTCTTAGAATTTTGTTAAAGTTTATTCTTTTCCAGAATGTTCCGGATACTTTTGTTCCTATTTTGCTCTCAAAAATCTTCCCAAAAGTTTTGTTAGCATTTTATTCGCTTTGAGAACGTTCTCCAGGGGTTTGTTATTATACAACTCCCGTTGAGAACGTTCTTCCCAGTTTTTTCTCACTCTCGTTCTTGTGAAAAACTAACTAAGGTTTTGTTCTCATTTCGGTTAGGGTTTTAGGCGGTCTTGGGAACAAAACTACGAGAATGACATCGTTCCCACGACAGTCGAGTCTACGTAACCGGAACGACCCAGATTTATATCTGGCCAAGGACTGTCACTCCAGCAACACTCCCCAAAAACTCTAGGAAATCTGTATTCTGTCACAACAATAACAACAACGAGAATGGCATTTAGTTTCGATCATGTCTCTTGTTCTCGGGCACTGCTATGTAACAATATTGCTTAAACTAGGGTATAGAATTTAAGAGATTAGTAAAACTTGCTTTTTTTATAGAAAATTCAAGGTCGATACAATTTTAAATCTTATTAAATTCATTAAGAGCCCCCGTAAGGGGCGCCTTTCAAACAGATTTCATACTAAAATTGTTAGCATAGAAAGGCAACGAAGTATGACGATACCTCCACGGAACATTAAATTTTACTAGTATCGCCCAGTTGTCGAAATTCGACATCTTTTTTATTTATATTGACTCCTTTGTGCGAATGGTAATTTTGAACTCCACCACCACAATTTATAGCGAATTTACAGGAAAACTTAAAACATAATTTACATTTATAAAAGATATGCACATGTATTTGAATGTGTAGATGAGATAAACAACGGTTCCTCACTGACTAATATGTTAAAGATATACCAATTCAGTGTGTAAATACGTTTTTCGATTATATTGGTATGAGAGCCTCTTGGGAGTTTAAAAACTAAATTGCCAACATCTACATAAACTCCTCTTTCTTTTCATCAGAATCGGTAGAGGTTAAGAAAGTACCTCGAAGTTTTACAACAAAATATAATATGTATTCTCTTTTCGAATGACGGGGTTACACGGGTTTTGGTCAATATTGAGCCTAAATTCCAATATTTTTACGTCACACGATTGGGCTACCGGGTTACCCTAAATTTTATCTTGATTTTTTGTGTTCTAAAGATTATGCAAAAACACACTGATCCTTCTAAAAATCTTTACATAAAATAACAATCATTCAATGCGATTTAGAAATCTTTGGAGAAAATGATTCCCAATTGAATGGTTCTTGCTATTTTAAAGGTTTGTATGTATGTAAATATATGTAGGTGTATCAAATCCTATTACCTTATAATATTTTGGGTTAGGTTAGAATGGTGGCGGAGAAACTATTGCGCCCAAGTAGCAGGTAAGTGCCATTTTGACACCATATACCTCGACTGAATATGTTAGAACCAACCGGCGTGGTTGATGAAGTTGAGTATATTGTGGAACTTATATCAGATAGCGCTCGTAACGATGTGTTCCTAGCATGACATTTCTGCTCCTCATTAGAGCTGGACATTTACAAAGGTGTTCTACTGTTTCCTGCCTTATCATAGGTGGTTCAAGAGATAAGCAATATGGAAATTGCTTTTGGCATGGGAGGCGACACATCCCCCATTCGAATACATATCACTTTTCGCAATAAGTTCGGTTTTGATAACATATGTATTTAGCATAAGCGGTTTCAAAGATAACGATATGAGAAATACAGTTTATATGGGAGGTGCCACGCCCCATTTTCCATTAACTACCACTTTACGCCGTAACTTTGGTAATGATAACATTGTAGCTATGTCAAATTTCAGGACGTTACCAGTTACAGTTCTAGAGATAAGCGATATGAGAATTTAAGTTTGTATGGGAAGTGCCACGACCCCTTTTCCATTATTTACCACTTTTCGCAGTAAGTACCGTATTGATAACATCTTTTGCTGTGTCAAATTTCAGAAAGTTAGCATAAGTGGTTCCGGAGATAATTGAGATGAGATTTTCCATTATCTACCACTTTTCGCCGAAAGTACGGTATTGAAAGCATATGTTGCTGTGTGAGATTTCAGGACGTTAACATTAGCGGTTCCAGAGATAAGCAATAAGAGAATTACAGTTTGTATGGGCGGTGCCATGCCCTCTTTTCCATTATCTACCACTTTTCGCCATAAGTACGTTCAGGACGTTAACATAAGCGGTTTCAGAGATAAGCGATGTGAGAATTTCAGTTTGGATGGGAGGCGCCACTCTCCCTTTTCCATTATCTACCACTTCACGCCGTAAGTGCGGTATTGATAGCATATCTAACTGTGACAAATTTCAGGACGTTAATATAAGCGGTTCCAGAGATAGATGATATGAGAATTTCAGTTTGTATGGGAGGTGCCACGCCCTCTTTTCCAAAATTTACTACTTTTCTCTGTAAGTAGGGTATTTAAAATTTATGCACACTCGCCAGGTTTCCAGCGTAATTAAGTTTTCACATATTAGTCTGTATGTCAGATGCCACGACCCCTATGTAACGGGGTTAACATTTCTGGATTAGAGGAAGTTATTTCCTTTAAATTGGTGTATGTTTCATTAAAATCGAGCGAAGGGTGGCCTCAAAAAAGGGAGTTGAAAATTTTCTTGTGGCGTATTTATAAATATATTATTTTCAAAAGTTGGGGACAGTCACAAACTCCTTGGAAAGGGTAGACAGATATTATAGGGACATAATCAGTACAGTTGTGATCAAAAATCGGTACATAGCCATAAAAATCAGCTCATTTTTAAGCGTATTTTTGATTATT